CACATATGTACTAGACAATAATACAAAGATCTCTTGAAGGCATTTTCTTGGAAAACTAAGACCTTTGAGCTCTTTTCTGGCCTGTAAACGTGACTAGTGTTAGTTGATAACTAAACTTTTGTTTTGGAAACTTTTGGAAAGATTAACATGAAAACATTGATGATAGCTAACAATCAGGCATGTGGATCCTAAGAAGTCAGTTCTTACCTAGGATCAAATTATTAGTGAAATAAGTTTCTACTGACTGGTCTAGATTTAATTTTTTAATCCTCCTTTTAAAGAACCATGAATTCCTCTGTTGAAGTCATCCCTGGTTCTATTTGTGATACTGCAAGAGGAGAATGGCATCTGTGATGTTACTGTGTAAAAACTTCCCACTGTATTATATACTAAAGAAAACCATGTATTTATTTTCTTCTCCCTGAATTTTCTTATTTCTTTTCACCACCCTGTATCTGTCCTACTGAGCTGCTTCAGCTTTCAGCTGCCTTGCAGACCCTTTTCCCTTGTTTTCATTTGCCTTCTCAGGTGCTGGTTCATCTACTTATTTTCTCTTTCTAGTATTCATTTGCTGCCTTGATTCCCTCCTGCTTTATCTTTGATTAATTTCTTCCAGTCCTGGAAATAGAGGAAATGATGAGAGGAAGCTATCACAGTAACCGTTATAAAATGATGTGGAATGTAAATGACAGTGTAATGGCACATACCGTGGGTTATGCCAGAGATTCTCATGCAACTGATTATCTTTCAAGGCTTGGGAGGGATGAAGTTGATGTGTGCAGGGAATCTTTAGATACTAAAAGTGTCAACTATATAGGCCCTGAAAAGGAGACCAGAATAAGCAATGATCCCCATATTCCTGCTAGGTGAAGGAAAAGGTTTGTACTTGTGTGTTCTTCCACTGTTGCTTGCGCTCCTCCCGCTTCCTGGTGTCAACTTTTGGCATTTTATGAGCTGTCCTGAGAGTCTTTCCAAGTTCTTAAATGTATGGAAAGTAATCCCTGTCACATCCCACCTTCCTCCCCTTCCTCAGTCCCTTGCCCTGCCTATCTCCTCTTCTTGCTCTCCGCCCCCTCTGCCCTGCTGTGGGAGTGTATAGACTCTGTTGACTGTGGTATCACAAGAAAAGAGAATGAGGGAAGAAAAAAGAAAAAAGAGGTAGTAAATCACCTGTGCCTGTAATGGATTAGCTAATTGTTGCTGTATGGTAGGTAAATTGTTTAGTAGTGTCCAACGCAGCAGTTGAGCAAAAAGCGTGAAACTGCTTAATGACTGCTCACAAAACACTCCTCTCTAGGTTTTGGGGAGTCAGGTATGCTCGAAGGCTGAGTCTCTCTGCTATAGAAATGTTAATTCTCTCTGAATAGAAAACCCATTGTTATGGCTTGGACCCAAGCCTCACCCTCAACTCCCTCCAAGTTGTTTCTTTCTTCCCCTCAATTCTTATACAAAATAACTTTCTTAATTGGGGAAACAGACTGAGATTGGTATCAGTGCAAATTCTTAAGTGTAAGCTCTGTCCTAATGTTTTTGCATGAATGCAAGGTATTGAATGTCTTGAGGGGTGCTTTGCCTGGTGGTTATTTTAGACAGAAAAGTCTAGACAGTTCTTAGGATCTATTGCACACCTCTACACCTGCCAAAATTTGGGAGGGAGTTTTGTTCAAATTACACTGCTGTTCATCAGAAAGGTTTTCACAACATGGGTAGTACTAAATTAGTCTGTTTCTCTCACTCTCCCTCCCCCAAAAAATCTCTGCTACTAGTGCTCTAAAACTAGAACAATCTGCAATTACTATTTTTATTTGTACCTTTCCTAATTATCTAACAATTCATAAATAGAAAGAACATTCTTTTGTGCATGGTTTTGTTGTACGTGTAATAATGTAAAGATTTCACACATGTGATTGAGACAAATGCTTTTTAAACACACTTTGAGCCAAAAATGAATAGATTTGCTTTGAGAAAGGCTCTTCAGTGGATAAAGGAGATATAGATAACTTTTTTCAATGTCAGTCTTAATTGTATTTTTCCAGAAATACGGAAAACTGCTTTCTTGCTTGAACCTGCTAATATTACGCTGTTGAAAATGACTTGGCATGTAAGAAAGTATCTAAGAGTAATGTAAGAAATCATCTAAGTAATATTGACTTGCTTTTTATTGTTTTTAGTTCATCTAAGTTCTTCAGCAATGTCCAGCATTGCAATTGGCAATACCAAATCTCCATGAGGCTCTGAAGTTCATGGAGAAAATATGTGGAAAGACTATAGATGTATGGAAGAAGGGAAAAATGAACAGCTCATTTAGACTACTAGTGACATTTGGATGCTGATTTTAAAACTTTGCTTAAATATTATTAAAATTTATTGGATTGAGTTATGAGTCCTTCTTCCTCACTTCTCCCTTCCCTCTTGGACCTGTGGTTTGCACATGGTGTGTTTGATTTGCATGTGATTAGAGATTTCATTCTTGTCATGGAAAATTAAACTATAGGCTATAACATGTGGTTGGAATCTCAATTAAAATGTTTAATATTTTCCTCTAGGTTTCTTAGTAAAAATGATAACAATGTTCCTAATGCTGGTAAGGTCATCTTAAACTAACTTCCAATACATAAGTTCGTGGGTCTGTCTTCACTTCCTGCTTTGCACAGTTTTGTTCATTAGATCTTAAATATGAGTCTAATTGAGCAGCTGTGCCACTATGTTGGCTATTTTGAGTCAACATTTATACGATTTTGTATTATCATCTTATTTTAAAAAATACAGTCCTACAGTGTAGTTATAAAAGTACTGTTTTTAAGGGCTCTTGATTAAAAATTTTTTTTAAAGTAGCCCTTCAGATTTTTAGTAGACCTTCAAGAATGGGCAAGTATGAATTAAAAAAAGCACAGGCAAATGAAGATCCACACCTGTATTTCTTGGGGAGGATATGTTTTAGCATAGAATGAAGTTCTACGTTTTAGCATAAAATGAAGTTCTAGAAAAGACAGTAGTCAAAAAGCAAACTGCATAAAAAACCTTAAAAAATAAAACCTTGACTTCATGTTGAATGAAGTGTTTTATTTTAGGTGTTTGTGTAGTTTGTAATGGAAACTATGGGCTTACAAGAGCAAATGATGGGAAACAGTGGTATGTGAGGCAGCAATAAAAATTGGGAATGCCAAATATGTGCACTGTATGTCAGCCGTGGTTGTGAATTTGTTTGAAAAAATAAATTGTTAAACAATGACGGCCAGTTATTTTTTTTTACTATTTTTCCTGGGAAAAGAGTTTGTATAGCCTAAGGGGGAATTTGGTGCCTGTGGGAAAGAGACCAGTGGGCTCAATTTTCAAAATTTGTGCAGCTTTGCCAAGATATACGAGAAGAAGCAAGAGTGCACCCTGAACAACCGTAGCCCTGGGAGCCTCTGCTAGTCTTGTATGCTGGTTTTTCCATTCATAATTACGCTTAAAAATCAGACTGCATGCACTGGTAGCTCTGCACGGGGAGGAGTCGAGCTTGTTCAGCCAGATGTTGATTGACTCTAATAATTAAGCCTGCCCGAGTCGTGTAAAGGGGTGTCTGTCCTCAGTAACTTGGAAAGGCGAGTGGTGTGTGTTTGGTCAGCCTTTGGGAGCTGTGCGCAGGCACTTGGGGAAGCTTGCACGTGAATATGCTTCATGTGACTCCTCAAACCCCCTTCATGATTTGAGTCAAGTGTTTTCTTGGTGGTAGAGTGTGCTGGGAGGGTTGTTTTCCACGAGTGGAGCCGAGTGCTGGCTTTTTGGCTCTCATTTCATTGTAGTTCAGGATGCTGTTCGTGTTTCTCATCTGCTGCGTTTGATATCCTGTCCATCTCCATGGTTTCCTTTTGAACCAGAGCTGTGCATAAACATCCTTTATTCAAGTACAGGTTCAACCTTTTTTTACAAAGGAATGGTGAAACAATGTAGCTGTAGTGGATGATGCAAAGAAGACGTCAAATGTGTTATCTGAATTTTTGCTCATGTCAAATGTTTGCAATGAGTGTGGTATATTCCTACAAAACAGACCTAATTGGGTCTGTTCCTTTTGCTCTAGCCAAAATATTGAAGGGGAACAGAGTTACAGGAGCACGGAAGCATTTTAAAAATAACACATCCATCCAAATTTCCCCCCAGATTGTTGCTGCTCACAGGCTCTTAAACAACAGAGGAAATAAGAATACACAAGGAAACAGGATTAACACATGAAGCTTAGAGTAAAATAAGATGAAAACCAGAAACATTTTCTGTAATCTCTTGGGAAAACCTACTGTACAGAACAGGGTCATAGAATCACTGTTCAAAATGAGGATTTGGGGGATATTGCTGGGACAAAAACGGTTTAAAAATACTTATAGTTAGAAAAAATAATTAGATTTCTTACTTTTGTGTGTTGATCCTCAGAAAGGGGAAGCAATGGCTGCTTCAGGAAGCTGCAGGCTCTTATAAATCAAGGTAGTAATGAGACTTGAGCCAAACGTTCTTTTGATGCCTTTGTGTTTTATTTTTTTGGTCATTTTCCTTTCATCATATGATGCTTTTGTTTCCTTGCTTGTTTAATAGGCTTTGGGCAAGATCTTTGTTCTTGCCTTGCCCTGTTTTTTTTTTTGGTTTTGTTTGTTTGTTTGTTTTTGACAGTTATTTTTATTGTTGCTATGGATGCCCCACAGGGTTTGGGTTACCCTGATGTGTATTTCCCTGGGTCACTTTGCCTATGCAACAGACACATTTTTACTGGCTGAGCTTGATCCACAAGGAGCAGACAGGTTGTGCATTGACTTAGGTGACCCGAAGATCCCCATAACATATGTGCTCTATTTCTATGCTCCTGTGACACAACCTCAGTTACACTGCAAGTTTCCTTCATAATTTTACATTGTATATTATATGAACTTAAAATTTCTGCCTTTTGCAAGGTCTTTTTTTTTAAACTTTTTTGGGGGGGTTTGTTTATTTGTTTCTGATGTGCCCTTGTCTCTTTTGTGTTTTGGTAGGCCTGGATGATTGCCTGCAGCAATATGTCCATAAATTTGAACGGGAGAAGATAAATGGTGAACAGCTGTTACAGATTTCTCACCAGGACCTTGAAGATTTGGGTATCTCACGGATTGGACACCAGGAATTGGTTCTAGAGGCTGTGGATCTCCTGTGTGCACTGGTTAGTCACGATGTGAACAGATATGCAAAGAATTTCTTAAAGGGCTTTTTTTGGGTGAATAACCAAAGCAAGATTGATAAAACCACAGTATCTTTGTCTCTTGTTTTCCATTACACATCATGATAAAAGAAAAAAGTACGTATTTGTTTAATTAGTGCAAATTTTATATTAATAGTTCTCTGACTTTTTCCTGATAAGAGGCAACTTCAATTCATTTGGTTGCACTTCCAAAGGAAGAAATTGTCTGAGTGACATTGTTAGATCTTGTGGCTCCTGTTAGTGAACAGTTTGTCTTAGAAGAGAGAAGACAGACACACTGTTGAAATGACAGGTGCTAGAAGTTCCTCACATCAGTTGAAATGGGTGTAGGGTAATTCTGTAGCAAACCTAGGAAGTGAAGAAAAATTGATTCTTGAGATGAGGGATGTTTAACCACCTTAATTACAGCCTAGCTGAACTCTTAATTGGATTCAGAACTTATGCTGTTTTTTTGTCCTACTCCTGATATATAACTGCAGATACTTTGAAAACAAACATACTCTGAAAAGCATAAATATATTTTGGATTGTTTTACTTGTGCAGGTTTTATTTAAAAACCATAGTTTGGTCACAGCCTTGAAGGACTGTTTGATATAGTGCAGTGTAATGAGCACCAGAGGTATATATAATTACATCAGGGAGCAGGGTGGGAAAGCCTGCCTGATGATTCTTTGGCCAGCACTGGCCTGTCTTCCCTACATTAGGCAAGGCTTGGAGCAGTGAACATATGCCTCTTAAAATGGAGAATCTTTATTGCCTGTGTGATAATGTGCTTTAACATTTTGGATCCTTTGCTGCAAAGAGGTGCTACAGGGAATGTTCCTACTCCACAACCTGGAGCAAATTGTACTGAAAGATGCATATTTAATGAAATCTCTTCAAATGATCTAAAATGTTTCTCAGAAAGTTACTCTTATACTTGAAAGACATTTTATTTCCTTTAGGTATTTGATCTACCAAAAAAATTTAACATTAACTTGAAAACCTAATAGAGGAATTTAGCTGGACTGAAAAGCAATTCATGGTGTGGGAAGGAACTTGTTGGGCAAGTGCAGGGGTCTGGTGAGTTAGTAAATGTAGTGTGGGTTGTGTATGGTCCTGACTGAAGTCATCTATGTGGTAGTCCCCAAAGGCACTTTTTATTCTCTTAAAAATATTAGAATGAAGTGAACAAAGCTGGACAACTGCCAGAACCTAAAGCTGTGTTTTATCTCTTACAATTTCCTTCTCATTTCCTTTGTAGACAAAAGTTTTGACCTCAGACCCATTTCTGGAAATTCTCTGTGAAATGCAGCTCAAGTTAATGCATTAAACAGATATTGCATATTACAGCTGAAATGTGCTTGTTCCCTTTTTAAGAGGTGCAGGAAGAATTCCTGTGTTTGCAGTATGCCCTTTGTCACCTTCTTGATGCCTGTTCCCTTGATTTTTTGAAACTGCATAGAATCACCACTGATTTTGTTTCCAAGGGGATACTAAATGCTAGTGGCAACTAATTTTTTTGAAAGTGGGAATGTTTATTGTTTTGTAGATGTTTTGTATATATGCTGATACTTCCCCAAATTTTGGGGCCTTGTAAGCAAATGAATTATTTTTAATTTTTTTTTTGTTCCCCCTTTTTTGACCCCACTGCCATCCCCACTGTAAGCTGTCAGCTCACACTGTGGGAATGTGGCATTGGCTGGACCAGCTTGATGTCACTCTTTGAAAGGTTGTCATTCCTGGTGGAGGAAGGCTGAGAGGGAGTTTTGGTGGTTTCCCAGTCCTGAAATTCTCAAGAAGATTTTCCCTTCTTACCTAGTTTACTTTGGCAGTTTCCCAGCTGAGTTTCCTTCAGATCAGTACTTTGGCTCCCTCACACCACAGGAACACATGTGGTTCTAAAGACAGTGAGCAAGCTCTCTTTGGAGCCCCTTTCTCCTGCAGTATCTCTTTTCAAGCTTTCACCATAGAGACCTTTGTTCCAGCCTCAGTAGATCAATCACTAAACAGAGTGTGAACATAGTCCTTGCCTTGAGAAAGGATACCAAATGCACCTGATTTTTTAATTGTAGTTTTTTTAGGGGTTGAGTACTATTTGGCAGCACTGAGCTAAAAATATGTCTGGAAGTTTCTGGTGTGAAAAAGAAAGTAATGCTTCTTTCTCTACTGCTGTGGTGATGAAGCAGTGTTCCCTCATGTCTTGAAGCAGTGGCTGCATATGCAGCATCTTGAAGAGTCAACAGGAGAGTATAGACTGGGATTTCTCTTGCTCTTGAGCTGATCTAATAGAGTTTTCTGAATAGGTGTTGAAGACTTATTTGAGGAATTTAGAGGCTGTATCAAAGGACCTGAATTCCCCCTGAAGAGGGGGAAAAAAAATCATCAACTTGAGTATTTCAACGTTTTATTGACTGTAGTGCTTGGTGTATGTGGGGGAAAGGGATGGAAGAAAGCTCATGTTTCTTTGTTGATTGAAGTATTTGGGGGAGGGGGGAGCAAACACAAGTAACTTGGCTTTTCAAACCACAAAAGCAGGGACAGAAAACAAGCTTTTGAGGGTTTAATGAATATAAAACAATGCAAGCAAAAAACTATGCAAATATTTTCACTTTTAATGTGTTCTTTGGATTTGATTTCTGAATATTTGCCTACACTCTGATGGGAGAGTTTGGAAACAAAAACGCAGTGGATTTTTCTTGAGGTTAGAATAAAGAGATACTAATTATATGCGATTAAAAAGACACCCCAAACCCTGAAAAAAAAACATAAATTAAAAAAGGACATAGTTGTGCCTTTGATAATTTAACTGGTGGTAATGTTCTGTAGAATAACAAAATATAACATCATAACATGAAAAAAAATGCATATGTGAAGACTTACCCTTTAGATCCTAATCATTGTCAAAGGATATCTATGCATTACCATGTAAGAGTTTATATTTTTTAGAGACTTCAAATTTTGTGTTGTTTATTAGGAAATTACTAGTCCAGAGGATTCTTTAGAATGCATTTTGGTTAAAAGGAAAAGAACAAGCATGAGTGACTGTGACAGTACCTTGTGTTATTTCAAATGTTTATATAGCCTGCAGTGAGTTGGGTCAGCATCTGAGCAAGCATTTGAACTGGTTTTATTTTTTTTTTTTTTTCCCAGAGCAGGTTTTCAGTTCAATCAGCCAGTATGTCCAACTCATCACATTGCAGCATGTGAACATGGCTGTGAAAGGGAAGAGCATACTGTCCCTGGGCAGTAGCAGAACTCTCGTCAGTCCAGTTCAGCTCTGGCACAACTGTTCTGCTCTTTTGACTTCAGTTAAACAACTTTGTGGTTTTGCTGGCTTTCTTTCTTTTTTTTTTCTTTTTTTTTTTTTTTGGCTGCCTGACCTTGAGCCATTATTTGGTCAGATTACTTTTTCTCATTAAATGTGATTGAGTTTAGAAGGAGTGAGCTCACGTGTGGGTGCTGCCTCTCCTCCACTGCTGCATGTGGCTCCTCAGGTTAATGAGTAATAGCCTGGCAATGTTTGACATCAGGTGCTCTTGACCGCTGGCTTCAGCCTGTGTTTAGATTAAAACAACTTTGATGTTTAAAACTGGGAGCAGTAGTAAACCGTAACTTTTTTTTTTGTTCATGACCAACATCTAAAACCTTTTGGTTGCTTAAGTAATAATTTGTTAACTCTAGTAGCCTTAGTCCTGCGGAAATATTTAAAGAAAAGCCTGCTAAGCTTTGCACTTCAACTGTGTGTCACTGTGAAGGTTGTTTGGTGTGCTGCCACAATATCAGCATTCCTATCTGTCGCAGATTGGGGCTACAGTTCTATGACAAGTTCAATTAATCCAAGTCAGCTCCTGTCCTCCTTTGTGCTTGCACTCACCTGACCCTGAAGTGAGCTACTTCAGGGACCTAAACCAAGGGTTTAGATTTCTTTGTATTGTTTAGATCCCCAAGCCAACCCTCCCAACAGCCTGGACATTGCAAGTGAAGGAGAAAGAATAGTGATGTGAGAGCTGGTCAAGAGAATTTCAGCTTGAATAAAAGCATTGCTCTAATCTGGTGAAGGGGCAAAATGCTTTCTGTGTATTAGAACAGTGAGGGGACTGGTGAGCAGAGGTGGCTTGGGTTGGGATGACTACTATTTCTGGGGTAGTTCATCCACTAGGGCTGATCCATAGTTGTCCAATTTGGTGTCCTGGTACTCAAGAGCTGCATACCCTGTGCTGTGCTGGGTAGGCTTGGTCAGGACCTTTCCTGGAGCACAAACTGCTGGTTTAGCAGTGGAGGTGCACTCTGTAGAGCCTTTGGAGGAAGCTGTAAGAGGGAGCTTAGAGCAGTGACTTGGAGCTGGGCTGTAATGTGCTCTTGAGAGTCTGCTGGGGACACCAGTTGCAGTTACGAGCTGGAGCCCCTGCATCTCTAGAGGCAGCACATGTGTTGTTGAAGTCACCCTCAAAACCGAGAACCACTTGACAGAATTATTTAAAAACTACCTGAACTGGAAGAGTCACACCAGATGCACCCATGGTAAAAATAAGGTGAAAGAGGTGTGATAAAGGGTATGTGAATGCTTTAAGGCCAAGCCCAAAATCTTACCTGGCATATCAACACGTGTCCTCTTAAATACTGGTGCCACCTCTAATCTCAAGTACCTACAGGTGGTTGGCAGAGTTTCTGCATCTGAATGACAGAAAGAAAGATCTGGAGATATTTGATTACATGAAAACTCTCAAGTTCTGACCAGAGTGATTAAGTTGTACCTCTGCACAGAAAAAGTATTTTCTGTTTTCTGTCCCTTTATGAAAGCAGGGGATCAGTGTCCTCTAGTTCCCCTCTTTAAGGGGAGGGTTTCTGATATGTGGCTGCTTTCTTGTGGTTATAGGAACTTGCCCACATCCAGACCTGTTTGTGAAAAAGTATTCCCTCAACAATAGACTAATATTCAATCTTCTAAGAGGAGGATCAAACTAACTGCAAGAAATGCATCTAAATAATGCTCTTGGGGTGCTGGGGTTTTGTTTTTGTTAAAATTAAAAGGTTGTAAGTTCACATATCACAGTGTGCAAATACTTTAAAGTTGTTTAGTAATCCAGGTCTTTACCTTTATGTAATCCTGGAAAATTTAAGGATATCCTTTGCTGTTGCAACAGTGGCATTTTTTAAAATTGGACATATCCTTTCAACCTTTACTCCTGGCTGCACTTTAAGGGTATTTCCTTGCCAAGAGCCCCGAGGTGGAAGAGGGACGCACTTGTGTAACTTAAGCCCACTGGGATCTTATCCATAGGCGGTAGCAGTATTTTAAAAGTAGCTGTGTAGCTGACACCTCTCCATACACTGGAGATGTGTGTTTCTTTAGGTCAAGGATTCTTACATTTTCTAAATTACTTAATCTGAAATATCCCAGCCTGCTTTACAGATGCTTCAGTCTGGAGGGAATGGAGCTACAAGCTAGCACTGTGCCCTAGCAGCATCCTGGTCTGCATTAATGGAAAAGGGAGGGAAGTGTTTGTCACCCTTTAGTTGTCACTCCTGAGTCTAAATTTGCCCCCTGCCCCTATGTACAGCAAAGGTACAGGGAAACCAGAGCCAGCTCAGTGAAGGGCTCTCAGCTTGGGCAGGGCTGGAGTACTTGCCCTTGAGGAAAGGCTGAGGGGCTGGGACAAGTGAGGCCAAACAGCCTCAGCTGGCTCTGGAGCTGGATCCCCAGCACCCACCACGGTTGTCAGGATGGCGGAGTTGGGCTGTGCATGGCAGAAGCTGAAACAAGAGGCTGAGGCTGGATATGAGGAAACATTTTCTTACTCTGAGGACAAGTCAGACCAGGTATATCAGGCTGTCCAGAGAGGTTGTGCACTCTGTCCTTGGAGACCTCGCAAGATAAAATCCTGAACAAGCTGGTCTGAGCTTACAGCTGAGCATGTTCTTAGCAGGAGGTTGGTTTGAGACTTCTGAAGCTTCCCTTTGGCCTGGGTGGTGATCCTGAATGGAGGTATAGGAACTCCTGAAAACTAGGAATTAAAGGAATTAAAATTTGCCTTAGTTGATTTAGGTTTTTGAATAGGAAAGTAGAAAGAGTAGAGAGTATATCTGACTGACTGTGGAACTTGGAAGTTAGTTGCAAGAATCTGCAGCAGCAAAAGAAAAATGAAGGGCAGGACTCTTTTGCATTTTTGTGTTTTGTTCTAGTGGGAGTATTTTTTTTTGTTGTTGTTTTTGGGGTTTTTTTCTGAAGAAAAATAGGAATTTGAATTTATAAAGTTGAAGCTATAGGAAAGACTCACAGATCTATTTATGGGTTTTGTAAATGAGTAAAAAATTTGATGTCTAAAAATGGGTTTAATTGTCATGTATGATGTTAACACTGTCCTCAAACTTGCAAATAACTGCACTGTTGTAGTCAAGGAGCACAGTTACTGAAAACTGGTGATCCAAATATTTATTTAAGCTTTTGATTGCAAAATTGCATTCGCTTCCTGTTGATGTTTTAATCTCTTACCAGATTTAACTTATCTTTAGTTGTGAATGAAATGTTACTTCAGTGTTTATTTACCACAGGTTAGAAATTGTCTTAAGAAAAACAAAATGCTTGCTCTTCTTTAACACAAACAATCCAATTATTAACAAGTAAATGATATCTATTAGGACATTGGGACTTGATTCTGATTAAAAAGTGTCCTTAAATCTCATTAATGACAGAAACTGAGGTTTGGCACTCACAAAAGTTTTCTTTACTGGCTATAGTGTAGAACAAATCTTTGAAGGCATTTTTGAAGGCCAGAAAACCATGAGAAACTTGTACAAGTTGTCAAAACTTTTCATCCCATGTGAGCTTTTAACTTGTTTTATAATAAATAGGAGAACTCAACAAGGATATTTATCAAGCTTAATAATGTTCCTTGCAGAACTATGGCCTTGAAACAGACAATATGAAGAACCTGGTTCTCAAGCTGCGAGGGTCATCCAACAATCTGCAAAACTACATCAGCAGCCGTAGGAAAAGTTCAAATTATGATGGAAATACCTCTCGCAAGCCCCCCAATGAATTCCTTACTTCAGTTGTGGAGCTTATTGGTGCTGCTAAAGCCTTGCTTGCATGGTTGGACAGGTAAGAATAAAATGCTTATATTTTAATTTGCTGCTCTAATGAATTGCTTCTCTTTGTAGGGCCTTCCCTAGATGCTTGGGTGTAAAGATCTTGATGTCACTAACCCATTTTTTTGGTGTTGCTAGAAGACCTCTAGTGGATAGATTTAACCTAGGGTATCTATTCTTGCACTTCAACTCTTGCTAAAAGCAATAAAATTGTTAGTGTTGCACTCAAACTGGTATTTATAAAATCCATTTTAGGTCAGTTTCTCATACACATAGTTTTCCCAGCTTCTAAATTACTTGTTATTGGCAGATCCCTTCCTGAAAGATTTTTTTAATGTTCTGCTGAAATCATGGCCTTTGCTATGCGATTTGAAAACTGAGCAGTGGGAGAGATTATCCTTCTGCTATTTCGTTTTCTCTCT